TGGGAGCGTCGTGACGCAAGGAAAACGGAGAGCACATGCCGGAAATGTGTACCGATTACAGACCGTTCCTTGGAAATACTAATTTAAAGAACAGCGAAAATCGCCTGTGAGCGTGATGCCACCAATGAACCAGCTCCGATTATAAATAGAAAAAAATAAGTCGCTCAGATTTAACACTTTCAGAACCTAATTGCCATGATACCCGCAGGAAGCACCAGGGTTGGGATATTGCCAGGTTGCCCGAGCCTAGACAAGGGAAGTCGAAAGGGAGAGGTCGGGTTCGAACCACCGACCTTCCGGTCAGTAAATTCGCGCTTTAACCACTTCAGCCGTCTCGTCCCCCCATACCTATCACGGTCACTGGCCATCGTTTATCTTGTCCCGCGGTCCACATCCGGGAGAATTCAAGCAGCACATCGATTACGAAGTTGAAGAGCACCGGCGGCAGATTACACTTTTGGCTTACAGCACCGGATGTATTGGACATAGGATAAAATTTGCCGTAGAAATTTATGCGCATTTAAAGCCTCTGTAAGAGACAACAATTTAAACATTACGCCACTCATCGCCAGACACTGCCAGAGTCTTCGACGATCAACAGTCAGATTCATTAGGAAATATGACCGTTGTTGGTCAGCTGAATGAGTGGCGCAGTTCCAACACCAGCAAGGTGAAAATAAATAAATCGTTCAGTTGTAACATCCTTCTTGTGCCTATCTGTCATGTCACCCGACGGAGACACGAGGACGGAGATAGGCTGCCCAAGGCCTAGACAGGGGAAGCCAAGAGACAGAGGTCGGGGTCGAAGCACGGACCTTCCGATTAGTCAACTCACGCTCTAACCATTGAGCCGTCTCCCCCATATAAACCATTGACCGACATGTAATTGTTTTAACATTATATGTCCACTGGCGGTATCTGGCTGGTGAGCGCCGAAACGACCTACATTCAGGTAGATCAAGCGAAGTCTTCCAGCGCAACACCAGGCGGTTGACAAACGCACGTGCTGCTCCCCCGTGTATTCCCAGAGCAACTGGAAAGTAGACAATTATTCGTGGTTCTCCACCCTCAAAGATATCAACTATTAGATACTAAACAGTTACGGTTTCAGTGCGGTTTTCGTATTTAATGGGGTAATTTTGTGAGGGGAAATGAAACGCGAAATGAGACGAAATGAAACACCCAAAAATGAAGGCTTGCATTTTCAAGATGCACATGAAAATAAATATGTACCTTCCAGATTCGGCAAGTCTTTTGGGGCCCGAGATAAACACTTCAACTGGTGGAGACACCCGCCTTCTTTCATCTCTCAGATAATATGCATTTTCGGCAATATCGTGGCTGCACCCATCAGGCAAAAACGGTGGGGGTTGGGTCCGTTTGGAGTAATTTTCAGTATAACGGAGTGAATTGTTGTACTTCCTTTGAAGTAAAAAGTCACGTATCCTGGCCATTAAGGGTGTGAGCCGATCGCCTCCCCTAACGGACATCACGAAAGCCGGCGGCCCACACTGAAGAACTCCTGCTGCTGATTGGTTGCTTTCTCAGCGTCGAACCGGACAGAAAAATGTCGCAGTATATAGGTCACCGCAACTTCGAGGCACGGTGTTTCCGAGTAGAAAAAACAGTTACGCCAGAATGCTACACTTTGTTGTACATGTGCTCAGACCAGACATCACCCCAATCTACTGTCATTTGTCGCGATTTCTAAATTTTTGGCGCGCATTCTAGTTTGAACTCCAAAAGCTGCGCTACTAGCTAGCGGCTAGAAGCACAATGTATTTTTCTGCAAAACCCCTGCAGCAGAAATAAAAAACTTCAACGTCAAAATTTTGCACTTCTTTGCATATATGCGTAGACTGAAAACCCCCCTCATCTGCCGTCATTTTTGCGAGTTGCTTTAATCGATGACATTTGAAAATTGTTGACGCACATTCGGCATTGAACTTCGTCTGCTATGGCTCCGGAAGTGGCTTTCGTTGAGAAATTTGTGGGTGTATCGTTTTCATCCTTCACGGCATTTGAGAAGACCTTAAATGAATACATGAAGGACAACTTTGTGATATTTGTGCGTTCATCCAATAATCGAAGTACCAACACTATTTTGCATTACGAATGGGTGCACTACAAATGCAGCAGGCGCTCTCCAAGACCAACGGAAAGCCTTGGAATCCGGTTCGGCTTGTTCAAAGAAATGATGGGCGAAGCGTAGCCGGTCAGGACCTTCGTAATGGACAAGTTTGCGGCGCAAATGCGTGCGGCAAGAGTAGCGTTCAGGTGTGACATTATGTTTGCGTCGAACCGACCCCCGATTTCTCTCATTTCGTACGGCGTGTCATATCACGCCGATTGTTGTGAC